TGGCAACAAGCTTGAAAGGACAACCACTGAAAATACTTGGACAGTTGACAGCAGCCGACAGACAAGCAAAACTGTTGGCCTTACGTTTGTTACACATAGTTGTAATTGTACTTAACTCTGGAATTCTGTCTTGGTGCATCAAAGATTGAGTTTACTAACGTATTAAGATCTAATGAATATCAGGAACTTCGAAGGGCAATCAATTTGTTATTGTTTCATGCTCCAGCAGACCATCATAATTTAGGAAAGGTAATTGTTGGTGGACTGGTTGATTTTTTCCAGTTTATATAGTTGTAAATGGTACTACAGTGTCCCAGTTATCTTAATGTTGAACTCTGATTTATTCCAGTAACAGCTTTGTTTAAGCCGAAAACTAAAGAGTAAATTTCTAAACTGTTCTAGATATTCCTGGAACAAGAGCTAATGTGAATAAGTTTCATTGTTCTTCATGGATGCAAAATATATAACTTTGAAATCATAAAAAGAAACTGTAAAGTATAGGTATTGAAAATGAAGACAACAATCAGCCAACGTCACTTTTTTGCAACTATAAATCATTCACGGCCTATAATGAAAAGGTTGTTGTTTATAATTAAGCACAAAGCTACACAATGAGCTATCTGTGCTCTGCCCACCACGAGTATCGAAACCCTGTTTTTAGCGTTGTAAGTCCGCAGACATACCGCTGTGCCACTGGGGGATAATGAAAAGGATTTAAGATATGAGTAAAGAATTAAAAAAAAAATTAAGTTCTTTTCATGTGTATATTTATGCATTTCTGAAGTAAAGATATTTACGAAATTTACAAATTTTAAACCAAAATCGCACAGCTAAAGTAAAGTTTGATTAAGCTGACTGGAAGGATCTAGTTGAAAAAAAAATCCTGCTCACTTCGTCTTAAAAGATTTTATTTACAAATGAATCTGAGATTTTTTTATTTTTACATCTGAACACCCATAATTTTGTCAAACAAATGTTAGATATTTTTTAAAGGTAACTAAATAACATGTCAATTAACGTATGGATTATATATAATATTGTTTTAAAATGTATATATAGATTAAGAAATACAATACTACCGATTTGAAGAGTTAAATTATCACGTACGTCTCGTAAACCAGCTCATACACCAAGTTGAGCCATAATACATACTCTGGATATTTACTTAACTTTACCAAATAGTGTTTTGATTAATTTTCCTCTCCTATTAAATAAAATTTACTACGAACTAACTGCCTGATATTGCCACATCTTCTACACGCTTTCTCATAACAATAGTAAAGAAAAGAAAAGAAAAGAAAAAGGACATAAAATAAAGTATAAAGTTTGGCTTGAAAGTGCTGCTCTCTAGTGACGATATTTCAATTTATAGGTTTTTCTTGTTAATATAGTTCCCAATAAACTTTGTTTCAGCCAACATTTTACCATTGCGGCTTCATCAGGGCTATTAGTACAAAGTTTCTTCTTATATAAAATAATTTATTAAATACCATAGGATCAATTACTCAAAAATATTTTACCAATGCTTTCAATATTACACCACAACCATTACGTCAGTTATCACAGTTCTATCTGCAAACACTGAAACTCAACGGAAATTTTCTGCTTTGGAACACAAACCTAAGAATCATGCAATATATATTTCTGATCTCTATTGGTTTTATGTATTTTTAAACTTTTCACCAAACGAAGCTTTAGTAAACCGAGCTACCATATCAATAAAATTTTAGAATCTGTATTCAAACGTACACCAGTGGAGCACACACACGAATCATATTATTTAAAACTTATTCTGTATAAAAAAAACAAAAAACTAAAATATATTTAAAATAAAAGCAGATGCCCTATCGCCCGATGACTCATTGGTAAACTTGAGGGCTTATAAATTCGTTAATCTTTCATTTTTGTATATTTTTCCTTTCTTTTTATAATTAAATATATTTATGCGAAAAAATTTTAGTTTGAATAAATTCATTTCATCACGTACGTTAGATAGAGATAGAAAATATTAACAGTAGATTTGAATACTAAAGGACTGCGACGTTTCGGCTTCTATACTGAAACAGACAGTTGCAAGAAAATATTAACAGTAGATTTGAATACTAAAGGACTGCAACCGTCTGCGACGTTTCGGCTTCTATACTGAAACAGACAGTTGCAAGAAAATATTAACAGTAGATTTGAATACTAAAGGACTGCGACGTTTCGGCTTCTATACTGAAACAGACAGTTGCAGTCCATTAAAGTTCTCAAACCTACTACAAATAATTCACCTAAAGTTCCATTGAAAAAATAACATATTTCAAAATGAAACAACACTGTTATCAAATTCCTTAACACGTCGCACCATCTTAATCACAACAATGCTATAAATGAAAGATACCAATGAAGAGACTGGTACTTATTGTTTCGAACGTTTATTAAAAACTAAATTAGTGATGCATGGTTTACTTTTCTACACTTCAAATCTTAAAAAGAATGTTTCACATATAATAATTTATTTTTTGTTTAAAAATAATGTATAAATTAAATCACCGGGTATTCTATAAACAATTTATGCATGACTTGAATTTCCCAACAAAATTTGGCCCCTTAAAAAGAGACTAAGATTTAAGTAGAATATCATTTCAGATAAGTCAGGTTTAGAAATAATAATGAGGATGTAAATAGAAATTAACTTCACACTGAAGCTACAATTCAAACAAATTTGATTTGAAAACAAAATTAACACGTTGCTACAGAAGCACCAAATACAATAGCAGCATCAGCAACTAGTCAGACCTCTAGTGGCCTCAAGTTAACTTATCAAATATCTACTCTAATATACAATCCAATAAAGAATAACTCTCTAGGCAGCATAGACCTAGTTTTCAGCTTTAGTTTTATCAACTATAAACTCGACCTAAAATGAACATTTAGTTTCCAAACTATTTATAATCTCTAAAACATCTTGTAAAAAAATAATTGTGAGGACTTTAAAAAATAAACGCTTTGATGCAAACGTTTTTTCTCACATCATGAGCAACTTCAGTTTTTTTTTCATGTGTAATTTTATGTTAATCCCACTTTCCTGAGTATAAACTATTTTACAGATTAACTTAAGGCCAAGACTGTGCATGTTTTAATTGGAAATTTTACTTAACAAGCACAAATATATGTTTATTTTCTAGAGAAAATATAATAACTTCATTTGAATGACAAGACACGCTTATTTGAATAACAATATATATATATATATATATATATATATATATATATTACAACACTGGAAATATGTTGCATAAATTAGAATCTCTATAGCTTTACATTACCTAACAACTAAGAAGTGATATTTACAAACAGATATAAAGATATGGTCCTGATCAGTTGATCACAGTGTCCTTTTAACAGCTGACAGCTGTCTAGCTTGGCAGCATTTAACTGGATGAGTGGTGACAGAAATGCCCAAAATGAAAACCACATGTTTAAAAATACATTCAAATCATCAACACAAGTTAATAACTTTTTCTCATGTATCACCAAAATACAAAACAATAACAAGTATTGGTGTTTCAGAACACAACATTCTTCAGAAGTACTAAAGAGGTAAATATATTAGTCAAAATTAATAACAGAAGTTCAAAAATAGGACAATAAATAACAATAATATTCAAGATCCTTGCATAAGTGATCAAGTCAAAATCAAATAACTTACCAAAAATCTTTAGTAAAAATCAAATTTCAGTTAAAAAAAACAAGCTTATTTTTATTACCAAAATATTCTTTTTGTAGAATCACATAGCAAATTCTGCTAGAATGATACAAGAATAAAAACTTTGTATAAACCACAGCCAGATATAATTCACAGTATAGATAAGCTTCATATTGAAAAAATGTACTGTGAGCTAAACAAATAAAAAAAATCATCACAATTAGTAACAAGACTCAATTCAATAATTTACTATTTTGAAATTACTGAATATTAATATCTAAGTGGAGGACAAATTACTTGAAATAGTTTGACAAAGCATGCCTTATTTCATACTTGTGCAATAAAGTATGTTCTGTAACACATACAATAATCTATATATATATAACAAGCAAAAAATATTTAATACTGTTTTTTTAATACACCCTAAAACATCATGATAAAATATACAAGTGTGTCTGGTACAAAAAGATTGGGGTTTAACCTTGTCCTAACTAACACTACTTTACACAAAGGCAGTTTCTATCAAACTTGAAAAATAGCCAAACCTTAAGCAGATCTTCAACTAATGTGTTAATGGCAGGTAAATTTTACATATTCTGAGTAAAACTCGATATGCTGTAGAAGTTTTCGTTTCATTACCTGCCAGATTTTTTTCATACCTATAGTTCCACATTCACTTAATAAATCACTTATCATAAAGTTACTTTTACTTATTTTGCTACATTATTACAATAGTGTTCAAGAAATACTGGATATTACACATAACTCGTACTACTCGAATTGTGTACTGATTTCAAATAGGTAGTGTAACACTTTAATTACACTATTGCATGAGGTCTTCTACACACTACAAGAGCTCATCAGCTAGATACTAGAAACAAGTCAACATCTGTTCTCAATCCAGCTGTGTTTCATAAAATTTGTTACCCTACAAGAACCAAGATAGTCAACCATATTTGGTCAACTCTGGCAGTTACACTACACAAATACCAACTATACTGTTATTTCTTAGCTATTCACATTAAGATGTATGTGTATTGTTTTCATACTAAGTCATTTAATAGTAACAATGACTTTTTTTATACTGTTAGTAGGCATTGATTCAGTAATTTTGGAACATATGATTTTTAATGTTGCAGGGTAACCATTTTCAAAGCCTTACTAATACACATGCATTATCTCATATACAGATAAACTACAGAAACTTTTGACAAAACTAGGGTTAAACCAAGTCAATATCATCATAAAGACACATCACATTAATTGTCATGATTATTCAGTGACATATAAAGGAGGAACTACAGACACTTTTTAAAACAGAAATTTCCAGAATCACAGAATAAATAAACAGTCACAGAACACAAATAGGAATGTCTATAAAAAAAGAAAAAAGATATTCAATATGGAGTCAGGAACAATAAAAACAACAACTCTGAATTGATTTAATTTTATCAGATAAGCTTGTAACATAAAAAAAACAGCACCCTTTTTTAACTACCGATTTAAAAATTCCACCTCATCACATTTGCAATTTGTTTTTAAATTTAATAGGTTTTGTAATTTACTTCACATTTACTGATCCATTATACTTATTTTTTATTTTCTGAATTGTTACATGGTTTTCCATGATCTAAAGTTTTAGTGTGTTGTCATCAATCATCTTTAGATTCATTCATGTGTGTTATCCACAAGTCTACAATGTCCACATTCATCAAGCACAGGTCCATTGTTGGCCATCATCATCACTCCATTAATTTCACTTCTCTCATCTACAAGTTCATTGCAGCATTTACCATCATATAGTATTCCACTGACTGATATTCCATTACCCTGTTGCCCTACATCTACAACTTCATTACACTGTTGACCATGGTCTACTACTCCATTACATTTTTGCTCTTCGTTCACAAGTTCATTACGTTGCAGACCATTATCCACTATTCGAGTACATTCTTCTTCATATACAGCTTTGTTATGTTGTTGTCCATCTTCTGTTACTCTGCTATGCTGTTGGTGATCATCTATATCTCTAAATGAAGCAGAGCAGGAATGACAATTCTCCCCACTAAGAACATCTATCTGACTGTGACTTTGTGTAATGGCTTCTGTGATGTGTAAATATTCAAAATCAACTGTACAAACGTCACCACTATTCTTTCTAGTGTCTCCAAAGGTGAGTGACAGCTCATTTATGGACTTACTATCCACAGGTGAGCTACAGTCCTGCAAGTTCTTAGTGACTGAACTAGTGGAGGAATATTCCAAAGTGCTTGGAAGTTGTGCAATAGTTCTACTAACATTACTGTTGTGAGGGACTGGACTACATCGATGATCTTCAAAGAATTTCTAAAAACATAACAAAGATACATTTTAAGAATGAATACAAAAACTCATATAGGTATCAAAATATGAAGTTTTATAATGACATTGGTAAGTTAAATGCACTACAACTCATTATATCAAGATTATAGCCTTATCCCTTTGAGCCCCTGTTCTCTTCATAATAAACAAAGTTAGTTAATATGCATGATCTGTAAATATTTTATCACGTAGTGAAGTAATTTGTTTAATCGTATATTCTTTACCAAGTGTTTTGCTGACCTCCTATCTTCTTCATTCAGAAAATAAAAGTTTCTCTATAACATTTTCCATGACCAGTGAGATTTCAGGATCACATAACAAAGTAGCATATATAACAAACTAAACTTACTCAAGATGATAAAATGTACAAACTCACCAATTTCTCTTTAACTTTATCAATGACAGACGGGACTTCTGATAAAGTACGAGGAGTAGGAAGGCCTAAGGTGAAGAACTGGTCAAAAACCTCACATGGATGGGTGATCAATTTCTGTATGAGTAAAAAATATTAATATCAACTTTGATCAAAAATCTAAGTCAATTTTTGTTGGAAAGTACAAAATATGCTTATTAGCTTTATTGAGCTATCAGTGATCATTATCAAAATAATTTTCTATTAAAATTTGTCAAATAATACTGTAGTTAAGGCTTGCTTTAAATTCATAATCATAAAATAATTCATGAATATACAAAAAAAACATCATAAAAAATTAAACGTTAAGGAAATACTGCATATATAATATATTTACCCTTGTTAAACATCAAGTTTCCTGGTATAAATGTTTATGTGTAAAACAAATACGTTTTAGTAATTTCAATTGAATAATATTTCTTATCTAATAAGCAGCATTTACAGTGTATTCTGATTAATAAAAATGTGGTGATATGATATTCAGATATGACTATTAGTCTGATGATGTAGGTAGAAGTATTAGCACAGTTAAATGTTACAACATTTCTTTATAATACAGAATGAAATCTTCCTTCCTTCATGAATCTATTCACAGTAACCACTTACAGAATGAAATCTTCCTTCCTTCATGAATCTATTCACAGTAACCACTTCATTACAGAAGTTTTCTTAGATTTTATAAGAAGCACAAATATTGTTTTATTAATTTTAAATAAAATATCAAAATGCTACTTATGATCGCAATTCAAATCCTTTAATTATTAACTCTTTCATCATGGGCTCGGTCCCAGGGCCCGACCTTGTAACTAGTTTGTGCCTGTTATAGTTTTCACGCTATAACTTTTAAATTAGCAAGCACATCTTCATGAAATTTTGCATATTATCAGTAAACATTACAAAACTTTTGTATGGAAAATATCATATTTTTTATTAAGTTTTAAGATTTCTTAAGTAAAGTTCTTCTCATGCCTTTTTTATTTTCAAATGTTGACTATCCAACGTGTAAAATAATTTTGATTTTAAGATTAAAAATACTTTTATGCATCTGAAAATTTTCTAATTTAAAAAATCTTTATAACCTCCTGGTAATTATCAAACGTTTTTTAGAAAAACTTTATATTTTATCTGTTATTTTCACTACTGTATCTCTGTACAGGTTTTAGTGGACAAGAATTTTGTAAAATACAGTCACACTTCAGTTATAATACATTATATATGTATATACATTATTACTATTTACAAATAAGTTCTTAAACTTATTTTTTCTAAAAACATAGAACAGTAAATAAAGAAGTATAGGTAATAAATATCTCTTCTAGTTATGAACTTTATACTCATTTGCTGCTTGCTGTAGGTTGCTAAGCCTAATCAAATTTCTCATGTGGAAGATGCGAAACAAAATATTTTTTAGGTTTTTTATATATACATTTTGAAATAACCAAAAATCATAAATTACTATATCAACATCACAGAATTCCACTATAATTTATCAAGTTTAGTAACTAAGCTACATTTGGGTCTAAAAAAAAAATATGATTTTTCGAGCTCACTAATGACTTACTGCATGGAATCTAGTATGAAAAAAAAAAAAAGAAGTTTGCTGTGCAAATACTTTGCAGAAGCCGAGAAAATCATTAGTGGGACAATCTTAACGTTCGATTGGTTATACACATGTCATTGGGCAAAGTATGTGTCATAAGCAGATATTTTCAAAAATTGAAGAGGTGGACGGGGCCACCTTGGTTGATTCAACAAATATATTAGTATCTCAGAAAATATAAAAGATAGGAGGTTTATATTTTACATTCTAGCTTGTCAACATTGGTAATTTGAATATTTAATTCATAAGAAACTATAGACTTTGTATTTTGACATCACAAACATCTAATTTGAACCAACGCTGCATTCAACATACTACATGACACACAAAATTCGATATTTAGGATTTTTTTTAAATATTTACTTTTAAATTAAGAAATTAATTAATGTATAATACTAAAATTTGAATTATAATCTACAATTTGATACCAAACTTATGAACATACATTCATAAAATAGTAGTTCAATAAAATTTTGAATGCGATGACATGACCCGTGATGGTAGGGATAAAGAGGCAAAGATTTTCTCCTTGAATGACTGCACAAATAATAACATATCTTTAATGGCTTTATTAACAATGCTAAAGCTTTCAATGCAATTACACAATATTTGATTATTATAATGCATTAGGAAGCCACCTTTGAAGTTTTCAAATTACTTGCAAATACTTGTCATTAACTGCAATAAAAATTGTGATATACAACACTAGTGACGCCCCCCACACACACACTGTGTTGTTGCAGTGTTGACTACTGTCTACTATTTATTCTATTACATTCATAACGATTTAAAGTTTCGTTAACTTCTTGTCCTTTATCTATAACTTCCAATTCATTCAAGAGTTGTCTTTCCTACTCTACTGCATTTAGTGATAGAGATGATCAAAAAACAGAAAAGCAAAGTAATAGTAACAACGGCACAGCAGAGCAATAGATACAGGTGATGCTTACTTGTTTTGACTGATAATTTTCAAGTAAGGTTATAGCCCGGCCACAAATTTAAATACTCTTTACTAAGGGACTTGCTTCATTATTATTGCTAATACTCCTTACTTACTAAGGCACTTGCTTCATTATTATTATTGCTAATACTCCTTACTTACTAAGGCACCTGCTTCATTATTATCATTAATACTCCTTACTTACTAAGGCACCTGCTTCATTATTATCATTAATACTCCTTACTTACTAAGGCACCTGCTTCATTATTATCATTAATACTCCTTACTTACTAAGGCACCTGCTTCATTATTATCATTAATACTCCTTACTTACTAAGGCACCTGCTTCATTATTATCATTAATACTCCTTACTTACTAAGGCACCTGTTTCATTATTATAGCTTTCTCACTTTTCTTTTTCTGAATATTACTAACATTGTAAATATTTCCAAACAGTCTTCAATATTTGAAATTTAACGAAAGCTTCATTTCTTTATTAGGTATGATTTCCAAACAGAAGAATGTTCTTAATAAGTGCCCTTCAAATCATTGTATGATACTCCTTCAGAACATTACAGAATTGTACAGGCTTGAAAAGACATCCATAAATTATTCTTATTGATTTCTACTTTCTACTTTCACTGTTTTATACCTTAGAAAATATCTTTTTCTGTTTCCTAGTTGAAGGCTTGCTCTTTACAACAAAATGTTCAGTATTTTCTTCCAATTCTTTTTTGTAACAAGAATGAGCATTACTTGTTCCTTCCATTTCTGTTAAAAAACAAAAAGCAAGAATGTATATCAACTCAATGCACACTATAAGTTATGATAGTAAACTGTTTTAATCAAGACTGTGATTGTCTAAATTACCAACAATACAAAGATGCCCATAAAGACTGGCCTGTTGCCTACTTTCATTTTATTAACTTCAACATGTTACATAAATTCTACGTGCTGGGAATTGAATATCTGAAATCTGTGAACAAAATATACTGGTTCTCATGGTTTGGTATACATTTTTAGTACATTTACTTAATAAGATATATCACTTCCATAAGCACAGCATTAATGTTCTATAATAAATTTCATACATAGTCTGAAAATTATCTTATCTTATACTTTTCAGGGAAACTTAATTTCCTTTAATGTGACAATTACATTATATCATGAGTGATAATTAACAAAAACATTACAAATAAAAGTGTGCTTTATTACAGCTTAATCAACTGACAATACATTTCAACCAAATGAACCAGTTAATTTCATAATAATTGTTGGTTTCATAACTTGTAGATCAATAAGCAAACACCTTTAACATGTAATAAAGTATCTTATATTAAATATGAAAGGAGTTTCATTACAAATGTCCTAGAATTTCTGACTGCTCCTCATTACATCGTAAACAATAGTTAACAAAATTGGTCAAATGTATTATTACTGTTAATTAATGGTACCTTTATAAAAATGATACTGACTACAATATCAATATCATAGTTACTTCTCTAGAATTAAGCTAAGTTTTGAAAGAAACTAAATATGAGTACACCAGTCAAAATACATGATAAATATTACTCTTAAAAGCATTAGTCTTAGATTTTTATCACGTATTTATGAAATTAATCGTGATAACTTTTCTAAATGATTCAACAAGAAAAAATCTGTTTTAGCAATCAAATATTCATGTTGGTAGCTATTAGTTTTGTTAAACTGTATTAATTAATTTATGACTAACTTTTTGGTCAGTTGTAAAAACTACTAATCCTTACCCACACAAGACACAAGGTTTAATATTATTATATGTGTAACGTAATTGTTAAGCCCTATTTTGTACTCAGCATTGAACTGAATAGTGTGTAACAGCTGGCATCATGAGCTAACGTTAAGTAGAGCAATTATTATGTACATGTTTATGAGTTTTGGATAACACTGTTCACAAGATATTTTAAAACACAAGCTACAGAAAAAAAAAAAAATGTATATATATATCTTACAACAATATTGTTAAAAATATCCAAAATTGTACTTTTCATTTTTACTTTGTTAACTGAACCATTTACTTACATATTACTAATAAATTTTATTTTCCTTCATTAACAGTAAACATTATTGTGTAAATTTTATGAAAAGAATAAATCTTTAAAAACTAGAAAAGCAGACAGCTTAATACTAGTTAATCCACAGTACACTTATCATTCTTGCACAATAACATTCTACATATCTATCCAACACAAATAAATTTCATTAATTAAGTGCAAAAAACAAAACGCTCTGGTAAAGATTAGCATACCAGTATGACCACTTTGAGGGTTGCAAAGTACTGTTGGATGTGAAGAGATTTTTAAGTTGGATTTCAACGACAATTTAGAACCCATCAGCTGCTGAAGATAAGCTAAAAGGAATGTGCACAGCTGTCGTTCCTTAATGTATTGGTCCACTATTACTTCATCACCGATACTGAAAATAAGTATAGAATTCCTAAATATTATTCACACAGTATTCGAAAAATAAATGTGCAGAACAATTACAAAATAAGCACTTAAATATGTTAAACATCAATACATAATGTTAATGGGAAACATACATAGAGCAGTAACAATTACACTTTTATAAACCTACAAATCAATATTTATTATTAATACTTTGAAGATGTAAAACAGTTAAACTATACCATGTAGCATCAATTATTACTGTATGATATGAAGTTGCATACAGGGCAGTTAAGGTTAAAATAATATGCTGTACAAACATTTAAAACAGTTAAAAAACACTTTTTGTATTATATTGTGCAAAATGAAAAACAAAAACATAATATTAAATCCTACTATAAGATTTCACTAATAATACCGTATATCACCCTAATAAATACAACATACTTACTGTTGTTTTCTATTTACTGTTGCTTGCTTCTCCTGTTCCAGTTTCCAAGCCTTTGCCTCTCGTAACTGTTCTTTTTGTTTATAAAATTCTTTCATAACTTGATCGTACTCTGCTTCAATATCAGATTTTTCTTGTTCAAGGCCAGTGAGCTCTGAAAGTTATTTATCAGATTTTAATTGTTCAGTCCTAGAGGCATCTTGATGTATACACCTGGAAAAAAGTTAAGCACCCCCGTGTTTTTTTCAAGTGATTCAGATTCGACGTT